TTGATATTTATTATTAATAGTATTTAGAAATAGAAGGGATGCATCATGGAACTTGTTATAACGCCTAAGACCTTCAGAAATTTCCTTGCCCTGGAGTGGGGGGCTCCCGTGTGAATAGCCCTCTCAGAGCATTTATGCTTAGTTTGAAATACTAGAGTTGGGAAATTTAGACTTACCAGGATGGCCATTTTTTACCAGTTCTCTATAAACTGGAAAAGAGTGCACCATTTGGTGAAAAGATCACACCAACAACTACTGTTATGCTGTGTCATCTTAAAGGATTTAACAGTTGGGGAAATTTACAATATTAATGTTTCAAAATTGGAGTATTTATCAGAAGAGCACCAATAAGTTGGTCCTTGCAGGTCAGTGGGTTAAAGCCCAGAATTGAGGAGGACTGGGAATGCAAGGCAGACATATCAAGGGAGCACCATCAAAGGTTGGGCTTTCTCTAGGCAAGATTGTGAAATCCCTCAAAGTAGCTTCTGGTTATTCTGCACTGCTTTTTGTTTCATTTTCAAAACCCTGTTTGTTATGGCCTGGTGCTTGCTTGAAATATTTGGGATGCACAGCAGATTCTTCTCCAAATATTTCTCCAATAATTTTGGGCTCTGTTCAAGTCTATAAACAGCCTGTGTCCCTTACCTCAGTGCAAACCCGCTTGAGTGCAGTCCTCAGGATTTTTGAAGCCCAGCAACCTACTATGAGTGCACTTGACCTAAAGAAAAACTTACGCAGACTTTCTTCTTTACTCATTTTTTTGCCCTTGATGATTGCTCTAAGGTTAAACCAGCAGACACATAGGTTATTCCAAGAGGTATCTGCTGTCACTTGGTAGTATGGATCCCATAGTGTCTGAATCTCTGCAAACATACAGCCTGGTTCAGAGGTCAATATTGCATCATGTAAATTACCCTGTCTCTTTTATTTGACTTCAGGTGAGGAAAAGTTACGGCCATGTACAGCACTCTAGCCACTCCAGAGAAATTCTTTCTCATCAGATTTTTCCAGTCAATCTCTTTGTTACCTCTTATATGCCTTTGAGCTAGATAATAATTTAAGAGTGGTGAGACCAATTTTGTGATCACCTTTTAGCAATTCCTTCATAGGTGGCTGGGATCTTCTCTTTACAGTTATGGGCACTTAGCTTTAGGGTCATAGTAGAAATTCCAAGACAACCGTTTGGAATCTCAGTATCCTGCTAATTAAATTGGGTAGAAAATACTTTACAATTTACTTCCGGTAAGATAATGTCTTGGTGTTTAAACCATGGCCTTCTGTAAGTAAAGACTAATTCATATATTTCATTGTACTGTTAGGAATTTTAAATGTTACTTTCACCCCTCCCATTATTGTCTTACTGATACCTTTACTGGTCTGTCTATAAACTTTCAGAAATATTTTCTTACCTAGGATCTTGCAGGAAGAGATGTTTTCTTTAATGCCATTGTGAAAGTATATAAATATGCTTCCAATAATGTATATGTAAAGAATTATAAATATGAATTGAAAAAAGTTAACCTATGGATGGATTTCATAGCATTTAAAATGCAACATGAAAAGATGATGTATTAATTCACTCTTTATAGTATTCCAGAAGAGCTTTAATAAAATATTAATTTGGTGTGGATTTGGACTGCTATTTGAGAATTTATGTGTGTATTTGTGGGGATGTTAAAATGCAGCCTCACTATTGCATGTGTCTGCTGTTCATGTCTCTGATAATGCAAGTGGACGTTTCTAGCATTTTAAATATTTCATTCGATTTATCATTTAATGTACTGGAACAGTCTGCAAAGACACTAATTGTAAAACACCCAATTTATTTTATTGTTCAGCATTTGGAAGCTCCTGAAGACAAGTCATTTGGCAGTTCATTGATGGAGACTGAAGTAAACCTGGACCGTTACCAAACAGCTTTAGAAGAAGTACTCTCATGGCTTCTTTCTGCTGAGGACACATTGCAAGCACAAGGAGAGATTTCTAATGATGTAGAAGAAGTGAAGGAACAATTCCATACTCATGAGGTAAACCAAAACATTGATTTATGTAACTAAGCACATGACTTGTCACAACGGACAAGTATTTGTTTTCTCGAATCTCTATTAGATCTTTGTATTTTGGAAATTTATTGTTTATTTTGAGATGGAAACAATGGTCCATGTGCTTGGAATTTCAAAAGCCAGATTTTGGAGTTCTCCTTTGGTGAACAGCCCTAGAAGGTGTTTGCCAATGACTATACACGAATATGAAAGTCCAGTTTCCTTCTCTTGTGTCAAGGTAATACTGAGGCATAACTTACATTCCTGAGTACCTGTATGATATTGGGCTGAACTACTCTCAGTGAGGGACTTTTCCTGAGATAACACACTTGTTTGGCTTCCCTCCTTTCTCTCTTTCCTGCTATTTTAACTCTCTTGTAGATCCTCCTGGGAGCTCTTCCTTAATAAATTAATTGCACTGAAATCCTTATCTCAGGGTCTGCTTCTGCATAAGGTGACCTAAGATAATTTTACTAAATTCATATTAAAAATGGTATTGAGTTTTCTTAAACAAAAATTAAAATACTTTTACTAGGAATACAAATCTAAATAGGCTACAAGTTTAAAATTACAAAATAAATAAATAAATAAATAAAATCCAAAACCAAAATGATTTATCTAAAGTTCTAATTACAGTTGTTAATTTTTCATTGTCAGGGATACATGATGGATTTGACAGCCCACCAGGGACGGGTTGGCCATGTTCTACAATTGGGAAGTCAACTGATTGGAACAGGGAAATTATCAGAAGATGAAGAAGCTGAAGTACAAGAACAAATGAATCTCCTGAATTCAAGATGGGAATGCCTCAGGGTAGCTAGCATGGAAAAACAAAGCAAGTAAGTCTATTTATTTGTAATTAAGAAAAATGGCCAGTTTTAGAATTGTAGTATTATTTTGGTGCAGATTAATTGTTAAGGCAGGATTCTCAGTTTGTTCCTAAGGCATGTAGCTTTTTCTTCAGGGGACACTATGGTTGGATTTTCATGTCACTAACATTTTAGTTTTCACTTTTGTAACTGAAGTAGAGATGCTGTATAGGTAGACTGTTATCTACAGATACAGAATTGCCAAAATTTTTTCATAGTTAATGTTTTCCAGTTTTTCTTCAAAATTTACAATGTGAGTATAGAAGGCATGGAAGCATGCACAGGAAACCGTGTACATAAAATCACCTATTAGCTACAGTAGACAGGAAACTTCTCTTCTAAACAAAAAGCCCTCAAAAATATTAAAGAGTTACTCATCTGTTTATGGAAATCCTCTTGGAAAAAAAAAAGTTACCCAACAGTTTTTGGAAATTCTTATTTAAATATAGTATGGCTGTGAATTATTTTAGGAATATATATATATATTGACAATCAAAAAAGAGTTTTTGAGGCCTTTCTGAAAATGGTGTATTTTTTATAAAGGTAACAAGCAGATCTCACATTCTGGATATGTTGCTTTGATTTATATTGTTAGGTGTGTGTATTCATGTAGAGACTATCAAGACAAGATAGATTTATTTTTAAATGAAAAGAAATGAAGTGCCAACTATGCATTTGAATACATTAAGCTAAAGAAATTGTCCAAGTGCCTTAAGTTTAGTTAGTTATTATTTATGAAGATTAAAAGCTTTAAAATTGTACCAAAAAAAACTCATTAGATATGCTAGGAGGATTGCTATTCCAGTATTAAATTATAGTTTGACAATAGGGAGGGGAAAAACACATTTTTAAGTTCATGTCTTTTGAAAGAATAAATAAGGCACATATAAGATATATGTGTATTCCAAGCCAGCAGATACCAGTCTGTACATATTGACATTTTTACCCTTCTGTGATCATTGAGATGATTGTAAGTAACCCTAGAGGAGAGAGTTATAATAATTATAACTATTGAGTCTGGCCCCCACCAATGCTCACAGGTCAACTAATTTACTCTACCCATTTATCATCATAAATCAAAAGATATAAGCTGCCTACTTGTGGCGATATGCCAATATTCTTCAGATTACAACTTCTATTTGCAGTGACCTATGAAACTTAACTAAAGCAACCTCAAACAAAAATTAGAAAGTTTTGAAAATCCAGCCTCCTCTTTTACTGACCTCTCTATAATAGCACCACTGTCTTCTCCTTCGTGCACTCTATTTTCCATTCCCTTCTGGAGGCTAAATGCCCCTATTGTTTCTGCATTTCCTTATTTCAATAGGACTAACAATATGGCATTAACTATTCATACTAATCAATTACTTAATTGCAGTTTGATATTGAGTTGCAAGAAAGTATGAATTCAATCTGGAATTAAAATTCAAGTCTTTCATGCCTCACTTGAAGCACCATAAAAAAGTTCAAGTCTTTTATCTGTTATTACAATATTTCAATGTTCATTCAAAAAATCCTCTTATTAAAGGGATATCTACCATTAAATGACAGATGGCAAACAATGTATACACACACACACACACATACTTAAGTGTGTATAAGCTTGATTTCCTTACCCTCATCCCACTGAAGGATGGGGATGCTAAAATGACAACATTACTACTTAGCTAAAATTGACATAAAAATTAGTTTGTCCTTACAGAAGATTTGGGGACTTTGGTTTGTGTTAAAGCTTTTAGAATTATTATCAAGAAGGAAAGGACAACATTTTAGCTGCCATAGCTTTTTGCTAAAACATCTTAAGGAGTTTTTAAAATGAAACATTATATGGAACCACTTATGGCAATAGTCTTTTCTGGATAATTTCTTGAAAAACAAATACACAAAGTATTATTTAAGCAAAGTAAATACAAAAATATTGTGAGAGTTTATAAATAACAGTGATTCTTCCACACCACTTTCACTAACTTTGTGTGTGTTCGTGCATAAAACCTGTTAAATTCTAAATGAGATAAGCTGTTATGCAAACTTTGCTGGACCTGATATTTGACAGATTTTATGGGAGGAAACCAAAAGCTGATTATGACAAAAGGGTGTTGTCAGTACCTAAAAAATAATAATTCTAGGTTTTATTTAATGCCTTAAATAAATTGCAACCTGTTCAGTTTCCATTTTCATGATTATATCGATGATTGGCTTCAATTTGGAGCATTTCTTATTTTTGTCAAACATATGATAACTTTGGAGCAGTAAATTGCTAGTGAACAAAAATGGATTAGTTGATGCTTTTTATCTTCCTCCCAAAGACAGGATTTGGATACATCCAGTCAGAAGCCATCATCTCTGTCTAAGCCTAGGTTTTGTGATGAGAAATGATAACTAACAGTTGTGTAGGCATATTATGTATACCCCAAGCCATGATAGAATTCTTAGGTCGATATCTTATAACAAAAGTGAAAAATTTCTTGTACATACAGATAAGCTTATACTAAAATCTATGAACACTTACACTTAGCAATTGTAAGTATCATCTACCATTATATTTACTAGAAACCATCAAACTATATTTGATATATATTCATTGTGACTGAGATTGTATATATCTTTATTTACAAATATGAACAAATATTAATGGAGTGTCTCAAGTTATCAGATATAGTTCAAAGCACCGGGAACACAGTAATGATCATAAGAAGTATGGTCTCAGATCTCATAAAGTTTATATTCTACAGATGCTGACAGCCAGTAAAAAAAGAACACAAGAAAAATATCAGATTAGATAGGAATATATTTTCTGAACAGATTAAAAGGTAATGTGATAGAGAATTTTTGAGGGACACTTTAGACTTTGTGATCCGGGAAGGACGTTCAAGGATGGTCCCATTCAGTTTGAGATTTGAATGACAAGAAGGAACCACCATTTGCAGATCAGGAGGAAGGGTATTCAGGCAGTGGGAACAGCTAATACAAAGGCCCTAAAATGAGGACAGTTTGGCTTAGAGGAACTAAATGGCCAGCGGGACTGGAGAGTTGCAGATTGGAAGGTTAGATGGCTGAAGTAAGAAATGGGGTTGAAATATAGGCAGGGGTCTGATCACATATGGCAGTGTCAGTCAAGATAAAAATAAAGGCTTTTAGTTTTAGACCATGTGCAAGAAAAAACCATCAGAAGGTTTTGAGTAGGGGATAGATAAGGCAAGAGAATCTTTCAATAAGGCCACTGGAAGAAAAGAGGACTATATAACTATTTGGCCAGCACAATTGTCCAGGAAACAGAAGCTAGTGTCTCAGACCAGCTGGTGGTTGTGATCAGAGTGTTCTCCAGTACCTTAGCCAAGTAGTTAATTTTAAAACCAATTCTTCTTTATTATATTTTAGCTCCTTTTTTGCCTTTTTAATAGTCAAAATACTTTTTACTTTGGAAATAAACATCCTTGCCTTGTGCATACAGATACTACCTTTATACAAGTTGCATCTAGGAAATACTATTTATCCCATTAACAACTATTAAACAAAACAAGAATTTAAAAAAATATAGAGATAACAACATGCCCTCATTTCCACCTTACAAACTCTACTCTAATTTGCCTAAGGGATAAGGTCTCACTGTCTCAAACACTTATTTATGTGAGCTGGGGTAATATACTTTCCCACTATGATCCTCACTTTACTGCTTCATAAAACAGCAACAATCCCATGTGCCTGGTACACCTCTGAAAGATGTTGGCTGAGGTAGTGTATTAAAAAAGTAGTTTGTGAATGCAAAATTATTACAAAATGTACAGAAAATCATCGTTATAAATAAGATGACTTGCCTTGGGTTAATTATTTTAAACTTAGCATATCACTTAGCCTCATATAACTTTTTTACCTTTTTTTCCTCCAGCTTTTTCTAACGTTTCACTTATTTTTTTTTCAGAGGATAGGTCTGTGGGTCTTTTTGATGGGCTAAAGGAGCATGAGCAGGGTGATTGAAATTACATCTGAAGTTACTTATTCACAATTCAAACATTTAAAAATATGCTTACAGAGAAATGTCAGTAAAAAAAGATAAGCATACAGTTTCTTCTCCCTTCTTTCAAACTCCTTTTTCATTCTACTCTCATTTAATTATTTCCTTTCTAATTTCTTTCCTTTCTAATTCTGGTACTTTCATGAACATGAATTTATAAAGTGAAAGCTAATATAATAAAGAAGTTTGTTAGGACATCTTTAGGCATGAACTAGTTTGGCACCACTGAGCCAATATCTGTCAATTACAAATCTTTAACCATGTTTATGAGATTGAAATGAGAGCACTAAATGCCACTGGTTTCATAATTAAAATAAAATAATTAAAACAAGACAATGTCTGTTGATATTCCTAAGTTAGAAACGCTTAAGAAGATTAAGTTAAAGATTTTTGTTTTGTTTTGTTTTGTTTTATTTTGTTTTATGCTGTGGAATACCCTTGGGGTGGTAGGAGGTGAGGGAGAGAAAAGAAAAAGACAAAACTTCCAACTGTGGAAGTACAAGAAGACAACTGGCATAGGGACAACAGAACATTTCCTTCTCTATGAATAAACTAATTAATTTGATTGAAAAATGCAACCTGCAGAGAGCAAAAGAGATTTACTGACACTTCTACAAGGACTCATAAAGATAAGCACAGCAAGTTCCATCAACTTCTCTGATAATTGTGGTTAGGACATGCAGACAGAAACTAAAACCCTTGTGATGGTAAAGGCGAAAAATGAAAGCAAGTCAGTAAGAAGGCCAAGTGAAGTCGTTTTCTGGTTTATATCAGCAGGAAAAGAGATATGAATAGTATCTGGGTAGAAACACAAGCCATAACATGGAGAAATAATTGTGAATCACTATCAACACTTTGACTGGAGAGAAAAATATGTCTAACAATCTGGCTCCTCTTATTTTTTTTTTCCAAATGTCTGTTCCAATCTTGAAATGAGATAGCATAGGTGAGAGTGGAT